GTTCTAAACGTCAATATACAATTTTTGGTGGAAGAGAATTGTTCTACCAGCAACCTTTGTGAGATCAATACCTCTGAACCTATCAAATGGGATATTTAATTCATATATATATATATATATATATCCTTCAACTGTGTGGATTGTTAACTAGCAGAAGACCAGTAATTATAAGTAAGCGTCTCTGCTCCACTACTGTCAACAGGCAATGATACCTGTACGTGGTCGTTACCCACTGCTCCATTGTCAGCTCTCTGTCCACGACCTGCTCCTCTCTCTCTCTAGCTCATAATCGACTTTATACTTTATCTTCTCTTATACCTTGCCTTCTTATATATACATGTATTGAGCCAAAACCAATATACTGAAATGAACAAGTGCTACAGCTGTAAACTCTTCATTCTCTGTTTCTTCTCCTTTCTAACACTGTTTTGTAGGAATCTTCATGGTATCAGAGCCACATTGAGAGGCATCACCTAATGCCATGGCTGACAGTCAATTTTCTTCAACACTCAAGCTACCTCTACCGAAGCAGTCACAGCCGACATTTCCATTCCTGCCTCGCTGAAGTTTATCATCTCAAACATAAAGCATATAGTGAATATACAGCTTAATAGCGAGAATCATGCCCTATGGAAGCTACAGGTGCTTAAGATCCTCTCCGCAATGGCTTGAAGGATTCATTACTAGTACAGACACCTGCCCGCCAAAACTAGTCACCTCTCCAATGGTGACATTACTCTCAATCCAAAGTACCAAATCTGGCAACTAACATACCAAAATCTGGCAGCAGCATTGTACTCAACCATTTCACCAAGTATTCTATAGTAGTACTAACACTGCAAACCACGCATGAGATCTGGGAAGCACTTGAGAGGAGGCTCTAACCAACAAATCGTTCAAGAGTTATTCAACTCAAAAACGAACTATACCGCATTGAGATGAAAGATCTAACAGTTAATCAATAGTCGATGACGATGTCCTCAATCGGCCTGGACGATGCGTACAGAAAATCACCTGGAGCAAATCTGGGTACATTCTGGAGCAGAATTTCCACTGATCGTCCCAGGACAATCCAGATCGTCCTGGACGATCCTGGAGCAGATTTTTTTGATATTACAGCCAGATCGATATTGATTAACTGTTAGATCTTTCATCTCAATGCGGTATAGTTCGTTTTTGAGTTGAATAACTCTTGAACGAATTGTTGGTTAGAGCCTCCTCTCAAGTGCTTCCCAGATCTCATGCGTGGTTTGCAGAGTTAGTACATACGGTAGAATACTTGGTAAAATGGTTGAGTACAATGCTGCTGCCAGATTTTGGTATGTTAGTTGCCAGATTTGGTACTTTGGATTGAGAGTAATGTCACCATTGGAGGAGGTGACTAGTTTTGGTGGGCAGGTGTCTGTACCAGTAATGAATCCTTCGAAGCCATTTGCGGAGAGGATCTTAAGCACCTGTAGCTTCCATAGGGCATGATTCTCGCTATTAAGCTGTATATTCACTATATGCTTTCTGTTTGAGATGATAAACTTCAGCGAGGCAGGAATGGAAATGTCGGCTGTGACTGCTTCGGTAGAGGTAGCTTGAGGTGCTGAAGAAACTTGACTGTCATATATATATATATAAATAAAATCTCCCATTTGATAGGTTCAGAGGTATTGATCTCACAAAGGTTGCTGGTAGTACAATTCTCTTCCACCGAAAATTGTATATTGACATTTAGAACTGCGTATAAAACCCTTAGAATTAAGATAACGAAGAATATCGATCAATATTCCTAAGAATAGAGCCATAAAAAGTCTTTTAGATATGTTATTGAGCAGGTGGGAGAGGAAGCACATCTTTTAAGGAAAATTTCTCTATATAAGTGGAATCATGCACGAGTCAGGAAAGCTTACATCATGCGAAACCGAAGGAACTATATAAATTCCATCATCATGGGCTGGTGCTAAGGCTCATCAATAATTGATACAACCCCATCTTAATGGTTTGAAATCTGAAGATGCATAATTTCCTACTGAGGACTAAGGATAATTAAGGCAATTTGGTTGACCACCCTAGAAAGCAAGTTTGTCATGTCTGTGATTTGGAGAAAAAATAGTGTCCGGAAGAAGGAATAGTAGCCTAATTTAGTTTTGAATTGGACATAAGGAGTGACATTTATTTTGAGTGAAGAGGAGCATGCCATTTAAAAGTTAATGATAGGTGTTCTCTTCATGATTGTTTTTTTTTGCAAACTTGAATATCATGTCCAATCTCGATCTTACTTTGTAAACAATTGCTATATGAAATTATTTAAGTGGTCGTCATTTTTTGACATTGATGTGGAATTCCTCATCATCGTGATTTGGGTTACATTCCCTAACCTTCGGTCCCATCTCTTCTCTCCCCGTATCCTCCACAGTTTGGGATCTTTATTTGGTTATGTTAAAAACTGACAATGCCACTTTGATTGGCTCACGATTTCTATTGCTCGTGTTCTGTTTGAGTTAGATATCATCAAACGTTAGCTCGATAGAGTGTGGTTTGACCCTAAAAATTTTGGGTATACACTTAACATGTTGAAATGGAGAGGATTTCCCTCCCTTTTGTGTTCACTGCAAATCTCTCTAGGGCATTCGAAAGTGGATTGTCATATTCTTCATCCACACTTATAGGAGATTCCCATGATCATCCCCAAGCTTGTGATTGTTGTTGATAATGTTAACAATATTTTAGACCCCAATGGTTATGCCAAAGTTGTTTTTCTGGAAACTGTGAAAAATCTTAATACTACGGCGGACAATCTACGTTAACTACTGTTTTTGCTATTGTTATTTCTGATATGTTGGTTAGTGAGGGTATTAATTATGCAATGGCTGATAAATCTATGTTAATTCCAGCTTCTAATGCTCTTTGTAATCAATTAACTTGTACTTCTATGTTGGATTATGTGGATCACCAGTTTGGTGACAACGTTGGGAATAAGATCTCTGTTTTGTTATTGAGTGCTCCCAGGAGGCACAAAATCCTCATGCCCCTATGTATGCTTCTTTTAATCTTCTTTGATGGGTTAGGATGTCTCTGATAAGTTCCCATAAATAATTTACATGTTACACCTATAACTAAAGATGCGGTTGTTGATTTGGGTGGTGGGAATTTGCATTATGGTGATCCAATTGTCCATTTTGATTGGATTTGTACTCAATCAGGTGATAACTAGGATGGGGGGTCTTATAACTCTAGTTGTTTATGGGAGGAAATTAACTTAAATGTGGTAGGTGGATAATAAAGGCTTCATCGTGGGCTTTAGAAAGAAAAACAAGAAAAAAAAAAAACAAAAGTTTGTGCACAATTTCAAGTATTTTGTTGGTCAACCTACATGTTCTAATGCTCACTCAAATTAATTCTTATAATGCTTAGTTTTGCTTGCTTGTGTCATTGGGGCTATCTTCTTATGGCTTTGGCTTGTTTTGTTAGGTGTTGAGTGTATTGTATTGTTTGGGCTGTCTTGGGTTATTGGTATGCTTCTTTTTTGTTTCTGTTTATTTCCACTAGTCTTGTGAGTGTGGTGCTTGGAGTCATAGGTCATGTGGCTATTTTGTTGTTCTTTCGGCACCGGCTGTTTGGCTGGCTCGGCTGTTTGGTGGTTCTTTCCTAGTTGTTGCTTGTGGTCTCTGTCCCCTCAAAAAAATCTATCTTTTATAATAATATTGATGATGAAGATGAAAAAATAATTGTTGAATTTTTTCTTTTTTTAAAAGGTGTGAGTTAGAGAAGCATCTAATACTCCAAAAGAATAAATCTACCCTTAGATGGCACATGTGGTCCAAGCATGCAAAAACTGCCTTCCAAATTTTTTTTTTTGGGGGGGGGGGGGGGATCTTTTGAAGATTTTTAAAGATGAATTATTATTATTATTATTATGTATTAGATGCTTAAAAAAGAATATTTTTTTTAATGGATGACTCAACATAGAATAGTTGGTGTGATATGACAGTATAAAATACTAAACCTTCCATTACTAATATTGTATTATTAAAAACGTCCTAAAACAACACAGTGTTGGCAAAGAAGATATTCATAGCACATACGCACATCTTTGTTGCTTCGAATCATTCATAGATATTAATTCTCTTACTCGAAATTTCAGGAGAAAAAACTAACAAAAGAACCTCCAAGCTAATAGTTTCAGAAGCATACGATGCATGCTTTATGCTGTTCTCCTTGTCATATCTCTCTACCAAATAATTCCCCACCGAAAGTAGTTTATTAATTATACACTTTCTATCGATCGAACTCTCTGATCATAAACAGTAACATAAAGAGCAGCATCATAATTAAGAAAAAAATTCTATCATTAGAAGGTAATTACGCTTACTCATTAAGGAGCTTTGTTACTATAAATAGGCAGTCATTTCCATGTAAACAAGCAAACAAAAGCTTACCAAATTCCCAAAGAACACTAAACTGCAATACTAAGATGTCTAATCGTGGCCTTGAAGATGTCGGAGAAGATGCCTTTGACATACTGGAGAAGCTCTTGAAGGCTCAGCCAGTAGTGATTGATAGTAACCAAGCAGCGAAGAAGTATGGTGGAGTTATAGTCACAACGAAGAATCCCCCACGTAAAATGTCTAAGTATGACTACTTTCCCAAGCCAAACATAAAATGAAATACACTTACAATTTATACCTTCTGTTCTTCATATTTTGAAATAACTGAATAATAATATCATTGTCAATACAATCTAAAATTTCTTTTTCAATATAAGAGATTAAAGTATCGTTCATCCACTGATCTCCAATTCGATTGCGTAGCCGATTTTTAATGATTGCCATTGCGGAAAATGCTCTTTCAACTCCTGCTGTTGCAACGGGTAGTACTAATGCCAACTTCAATAGCCTAAAAATAAGAGGATATAGTATTTCCTTCCTAGTTTGAATCATTTTTTCAGCAGGACTTCCTATATCCTTTAATAATGAAAATTGTACATCAAGCCGCATATCCATAATGTAAGTTTACAGCTGATTATCAAGAATCATCAAATCAGAAGGAGTGAAATCACTTGGATATAAGTTTGCCATTTTAATCAACTTTTCTTTGTTGAATGCACAGAACAAATTTGATGGATTTAAACAAGCAATGCACAAAAGTAATTCAGTATTAGCTTCTGTGAAACGATTATTCAGCTCTTGTAGTTGCATATCAAGTACTGTGTAGAATATATCAACTCGATAATGATGTAAATTTGTTATTTCTTGAAGTCCACGCCGTGATCGTCCGCGGGCAACCCATTTATCATTTAGATTTGGAATGATAATTTTATGTTCAACACAAAATAAAGACACTTTTTGAATGAAGTCATCCCACTTATTATCTCTCATGTCTTGTAATCTGATTTTTGATATTTGAACTAAAGACATAGCATTTACGACGTCCTGGTCTTTCCTTTGTAAAGCATCTGAGAGTTCAGCAGTGATTCCAAGTATGTCTTTCATTAAATGCAGACAAAAACAAAAGTCAAAAGATTGCATTGAATCTAATAATGCAAAAGCTTCCCCTCTCTTTTTAGAACTTATGCCATCCTCCAAAATTATTTCAAGCACATCAACAACTGAGGAGAACATTGTAATCAATCTAATAAGTGACTCATAATGAGAACCCCATCTTGTTTCACCCGGACGCCGTAAAGATATTTCTTGATTTAATCCACGTCCAGTGAACACCTCACCATTTTGTAATGCACTTAATGTCATATCGTGTTGTTTATCTCTTAGCTGATTACGACGCTTGCATGAAACACCCACAATATTCATCACATTTGAAATTATAGTAAATAATAGTGCAATCTGAACATGATTTTTTGCAACTGCAACTAAGGCTAATTGAAGCTGGTGTGAGAAACAATGGATATAATATGCAGACTTATTATCATCCAGAAAAAGTGCTTTTAGGCCATTAAATTCTCCACTCATGTTACTTGCACCATCATAACCTTGACCACGAATTTTAGAGTGTGACAAATTGTAATTTGAGAGGACTTGTTCAACTCCTTTTTTAAGACATCGAGCTGACGTTTCAGGAACATGTACAATACCCAAAAAACGTTCAATAATTTGGCCTTTCTCACTCACATATCGTATAACAATAGCCATTTGTTCTTTTCCTGATACATCACGAGCTTCATCAACGAGAATAGAAAAGAATCAGTCACCAACTTCTGCTTTTATGTAATCTGTAATTGCAATAGATATGGCTCTACAAATATCTTTCTGAATATCAGGTGCAGTCAATTTCAAATTCTCTAGAGCATTCTTTAGTACAACATTACTTATATCTTCATTATGTTCCGCTAAAAATTGCAAAAGCTCAAGAAAATTTCCTTGATTTTTGGAATCAAAACTCTCATTATGCCCGCGAAATGCTAAACCTTGTCGTAGAAGGAATTTAACGCAATCAACAGAAGAATTCAAGCGGACACGATATGCTTTTGTAGCTCGATCAGATTGCATATGCAAGGCAAAGTTAATATGTTGATCTTGTTTCATTAAATCCTCGCAATTTTGTCGTGCATTATTATGAGCACTGTTAGGTCCTCCAATATGAAGATCGAACCTATCAGGTTTTTTCCAATTTGAGAAACCATTTCTACGGAATGCATCATCATCTTCTTTTCCTCTTCCTTCTACCCCAAAGAGATAGGAATACAAACAATATGCTTTATCATTCTGAATACTATACTCTAACCAACAAGAGTATCTATCGAACCATCTCGGATTGAAATGTCTATCTTTCATCCCAAACTTAGTTTTAGGGAAGTCATGATTGCGAGGCTGACATGGTCCTTTTTGTAAATATGATCTTCGAATTTGATCGTGAATGTTAAAACTAAATTCAGAAATAGGCATACATAATCCAGGATCTGATTGAAGATTCTCTAAATCAATTACCATGTTTTTTGAAGATTCACCATCTGCTCGAATTCTTTTTTTGTTTTGCTCATCAACCTTATTTTCTGAATTCTCTATTGGTGTTGATATGCAAGATTGTGAAGATTTCTTAAAATATTTCTCCATAATCTTTGTGAAAGTTCAGATTTGCGAACTACATAAAACATAAAAATTACAAACCAAATATAAAACTAAGAACAAAGCAGCAAACAATTTTTTTTTTCTAAACAAGTAAACAGTCAACTCTAATAGATATTAAAATAAAAAAAAATCAAACAAATTCAGATTCCTATTTTTTTTTTATCCTAACCAAGTAAATAAGAAAATAATATAATCAAACATAATACTGAGATTTAAGATTAGATAAAACAAGTTCAAGGCATGATTTTTTTTTTATCGGAAATATTTTTTTTTTTACTTAGGAAAAAAATCTATAACAAAAAGACAGCACAGAAAATAAAAAAGAGAGCTTACCTGTGTCGGCTGTGCAGCTCTAGAATTTTTTACTTGGGGAAAAAATCTGCATAGGTATAGAATATTTGTTAATATGATAAAAATAAAGAAAAAGGTATGAATTCTTAATTAATGATATTAATATGAATATTTTTTCCCTTAGACAAAGCCGCAAAGGTATAGATTTCTGATTTCTTACATGCAATGCTGTGTGCCTGTGCGGCTGTGCCTGTGCTGCTCGCAGGATGAAAAGCCAGAAGGAAGGAGTCAAGGAGAGCTCAGACCTTCTCTGAAGTTGTTAGCAGCGGTAGATGTGCGACTAAACGAGTGGGCGGCCAGGCGGACGCACTGGCGGGTGGCGGGCGGCGAAAAGAAGCGAACTAGGGTAAGTTTTGGATGACAATTTCAGTTTTATTTTGAATATGAATCGGTAAGGCAGCCGAATAGGCAGGAATAGCATATTAAAGCTTTCTTAATTAGCTCCTGCCACCGCCCAAAACCTCATATAAGCGCACTGTAATTTTTTTTTTTTTTTTTTTGCGGAGGGGGCACGTGCCCCGGCGGGACCCCTCTTCCCTCCGCCGTTGGTTAAAACTAACGGAGGGGCCTATGCGTTAATAAAAAAAAATTACAAGGTTCTTAAAAGGAACCTCCAGCTCACTAATGCTCGCAATAGATACAAAATGAAACAAAAGAAAACCTAAGAGCCGATGGTTCCTTATACTAAGAGTTACAAAAATTCCTAGGAACATTCTAGGGTTGGAAGTAGACAACACTAAAAAAAAGAAGAATAAAAGTAAATCAATCAGCACAAACTTCCTGTAAAAAGTGTAGGGAATCCCACACCTACCAAAACAACCTTGAACCGGCGGCGTCCCAGCAAAAAAGATGAAGACAAACATTCCGCCTCGAATTCTGTAAAAAAAGAACCTACAACACAAGGGAAAAAAGTCAGAAGTAGGATGTAAATAGTAATGATAAAGATATAAAGTCATACAGTTGTTATTACGAAAATGAGTTAAGGTAGCAAACCAATTATTGGCCATATCACCAGTAGCAATGAAGGCGAGATGCTTTTGCTTTGTGAGAGATCAGCTAAAAGGCCTATACAAGCTCTCTTTGGTCTGCTAATTGCTTTGCTATCATTTTAAAGAGATACAATAGTCTTGAAGCTAGTATCTAAAGGTTACACCTAGTTTTAAAATATGAGATTCTTATTCAGTTTTTATTTCTCAGTAAAAAAGACAATTTGTTATCATACTGTGCTAAAGTTTTGGTAAATTTAATTTGACAAATTCAGCTAAAATTTTATAACATTTGGTTTCTATTTAATTATTTGATCATAAACCATTCATTTAGCATTTCAGTGCCTTGATGGTCTTAGAATAATGTGATCTTGGATTTATTGGATTTATCTTGTCGAGTTGCATGCTAATTTATTTGATGTTAAGCATGCAAAATTATTCAATACTTCAAGCAATATGAAGTTTGTAACTTTATTTCAAGTGATTGATTTGAGTTTATTTGGATTCAGATCAAATCACTTTTACTATTGTTGGGGTTAGGGGTGTTAATTCGGGTCAGCGGGTCGGGTACGGGTTGAACCCAGAACTGACCCGACACTGTTCAGGTAACCCGAACCCGACCCGTTTTTAAAAACGGGTAAGGTTTCCAGACCCGAACCAGACCCGATTTGGGTCCGGGTCAACCTGACCCGACACGAATGACCCGAAGTTGATCTAAAATTACTAATTTTTGGGTCAATATTCGATTTTTGTGTCAAAATCGGGTCAATCTCGGGTTTTCGGGTCAAATATGAGTTTTCGTGTCACTTTCGGGTCAATTTCGGGTTGCGGGGTCAACCCGAACCCGACCCGATTTTTAAATGGGTTGATTTGTTCAACCCGAACCCGACCCGTTTCAAGTTCGGGTTGACCTGAACCCGGATTTTTCCAGGTCAGGTTCGGGTCGTGTTTCGGGTCGTGTCAAAAATTGACACCCCTGGTTGGGGTTGCCTTTTTAATGCACTCAATTTGACTATAAATTTGTTAAAGTTAGAGTTTATAAAATTTTAAATTTAATTCAGGCTAATTAGACATGTTTTGTATAAATGAAGATGCGCTAAAAGGCTTATGCATGCTAGCTATAATAATAGCGCTTTAATTAGCTTTCTAAAAGACATGTTCATAGGTACACTGCTCGTTGAGTCAATCATATGACTCAACTGCTAAGATTTAAATTTTGTTTGGGATAGCTTTTTTAGTTCTTTTTAAAGTTTTTAGTAAAAAATTTCTTCCATAAAAAAATTGTGTGATAAAAAATTGTTTTAAAAAATAATAAGAAAACTGTCTCAAATGAAACATTTATCTCTTGATTCCATATCTTGTGACATCTGAGCTTAACGCTTTATCTTATGGCCTGGATATCTATCTTAAGTTGGGTTTTAATTTTGTGTGGGTTGAAGTGGATGCTATGCTTCTTGTCCGGATTATTAATGATGCTGTGCCTGGTAATCCTCAAAACTTTTACCTTATTAGAAAAATTAAGAGCTCCCTTTCTATGCTTAATTATTATATCTCTCACATCTATCTTGAAGGTAATGTGTGTAATGATTGGTTAGCTAATAAGGGTTGTTATCTTAATAATCATGAGGAGTTTGATATACAGAATTTACACCCGATCTTGAAGGGTATGATTTTACTGGATAAAGCTGGTTTACCTTACATTCGAAATGGTTAATGTTTTCTTTGTTATGGTGCCTGTGTACTAGTCTGGGTTGGTCCTTGGGTTGAGGTTTTCTTCTTATTTTATGTGCTGGTTTACGTTTCCTATGTGGTGGTTCTTCACGGGTAGTAGTTTTTTTTATTTTTGGCTTGTCTGTGCTGGCAATTGGGGGTCAAGGTTGTCGTCAGTCTTAGTTGGAGCTTCTTATTTCTTATTATTGACTATTGGGAGGTTGTTATGGCCAAGGGTTGCAGTCTCATTTGGAATGCTGGTCTTGCGGATTTCTTGGGACTCTGCTCTTATGCTCTGTTTCATTGTGCTAGTTATTATGGGTTAAATCTCTATGTGAGATTTCTGTTCCAGTTAACTATTGCAGAGTATATTATGAAGTGTAAGTTTTGTGATATTGACTATTGTTTTGGTGGGGTTTGGTTTAATGGTAATATTTGATTTGCTCATAACAGCTATCTAACTTTTATGGCTTGTAAGTTTTTGTAGGTTCGTTAATTGGATTTTTGCTCAGCCTGGACCATGGGATTTTGCTGCTAGCTGGGACTTCTACGTCGAGGTGATCATTTTTTGCAGGAAGCTCGTGTTGAAAGTTTTGCTATGCTATTCCTTTTTGAGGTGTTGTCTTCTTGCAGCCCTAGTATGTTTTTAGGTAATTTTATAACTATTAGTCTAAGGAACCACCGGCTTTTAGGTTTTATTTTGCTTTATTTTGTAGCTATGTGGAGCAGTAGTGAGCTGGATATTCCTCTTAAGGACCTTATAATCCTTTTTTTAATTAATGCGTAGGCCCCGCTGGGGGTTTTAACCAAAAAAAAAATCTGCTATCATGCAAGTTCAAAGTATGAGAAGTTTGCACAACTTTTAAAGTATGAGATTCTTGTGATTAGAATATGATAACCTATTTTACCTTTCTTAGAAATAATTTGTTATGGACATGCAGCACTAATGAGTATTCGATCAAAATCTATTACAAATAATTTATTAAATATCTTCTTTTTGGAAAGAACCATTGATCC